ACTGAACCTGGATGCGGCAGAATTTTGGGACGTATTAACCAAGCCAGTTCTCGGTGAATCGGACCAGGGAAGGGCGAAGTTTTTGCTAGTTGGATTCCTTTCTGATGAATGTCTAGGCATATTACGGGACAAGGAGACTGCTCGAGAAATGTGGAAGGCACTGGAAGATACATATGCGAAGTAGTCTGTAGCAAGTCAGACCCTGTTGCGGAAGCAGTTGGCCCGATAGCTACGACTCCCTTGTAACGGCTCTAGAGAATAACAACCAGAACGACCTCACATTGGAGACTGTGAAACAGCGGTTACTGGCTGAAGAATCCAAGCGGTCTGATAGGATGGAAGATTCGAGCGAAGACAAGGCAGCAGCGTTTGTTGGAGGCAGAAATAAGAAGCAACGAAAGTTCAACGGAAAGTGTCATCGATGTGGCAAAACTGGCCACATGATGAAAGATTGTCGTGTCAAGAAGACCGATGGTAACGTCAACGCTGGTTGGAAGCAAAGCAGTTTCGTTCATGGTGAACCAGAAGCAACCGAAGGTGCAGAACAAGCGAACCATCTTCTTCAGGAAGATCAAACAACCTTTCCTTATTGATGTGACCAAAGATGGTGTGTCGATTGTTGGGGAAATATGAAGGCGAAGTCAAGGGAATTTCCAAAGAAGGTTTTCTGTTCCAGATGAAAAATCTAATTTTCGTAGCAGAGCTGTCCCAAGCCGGGATTGATGTGTTGTTCACAAGCCGCGGCGGAAAACATCAGGCGCTGATGAAGCAAGGTGATGTGGCGATCGGTGTGGCACAGTTACGAGGAAATCTCTACGAGTTGGAGATAGATCTGGACGTGGTAGGACCTGCAGCAAATCTCTGCGCAGCGGAGGTCAGCAATCTATGTCATCGTCGTTTGGGTCACGCCAGTCAGACCACGATGAATACGTTAGTTCGACACAATATGGTGGAAGGTCTTGGCCCAAAAGTTGATTCAATTGGATTCTGTGACACATGTGTGCTTGGAAAGCAGTGCAGAGAACCCTTCAACGGAACTCGTGAGCGAGCCAGTCGATTGCTAGAGCGGATACATTCGGATGTGTGCGGACCAATCGATCCGCCGGCTTGGGATGGATCGAGATATTTCACCAAAGATGTTGTTTTCATCGTGCTGTATGTCGATGATCTCCTGATAGCAGGTATGCAGCTGACCACCATAATGAAGCTGAAACGCGAACTGTCGGCGATGTTTGAAATGACCGATTGTGGAGAGTTGATTCACTTTCTTGGGATGAAGATACGGTACGATAAAAAAAAATGGTAGAATGATGCTGTCTCAAGAAACCAGCCTGGAAAAGATCTTGCAGAAGTTCGGCATGGCGAGTGCAATGCAACCCGAACGCCAATGGAGAAAGGATTGAAATTGGATCGTCAAGTGGCCGAAGGTGTTCAAGAACCGTACCGTGAATGATTGGGAAACCTGATACTTAAAAACTACAAGGGACAGCTCTATGGGGTTGTACGCAATGGTGACGTAGGACTACGTAGTTTTACATAATAAATCTTATTTGTTAACTGCAGCATGAGCTTGTGTTTTGTGTAGGAATAGGAATTTGAGCGGGGTTCTCTCTGTGTATACTCTTTAGTATGACGCGCTTGACATAGATGGCCCACAGCGACTCACGCAGAGCTACTGATTCCGATCAATAGCGGTGCGGCTTCTTGCTCCTTCTATGGATGCTCATGTGGGCTGCAGCACGCTGCTTGCAGGGGGCCTTTCGTTGTGTACTGGAGAACTCCACCACTTATCACGCGGTGATTGAATAACACCGTTTGGTGAGATTGGATGAAATTCAACTTTGATCTGTGTTAGGGAAATCGCTTTTCGCAGGCAATCGCAACAGTTGCCCTTTCGTGCAATTTTCAATAGTGAAATTTTGAAAAAAATGAATAAGTCCTAAATTTAACAGATGCGTATAAATATTTCTGATCGATTGGTGATAAATTTATTGAAATTCATCCAGGGGCAGCTGAGTTATTAAAGTTCAATTTTTTTCATAATTTTGTTACATATTCCATTTTTGGTTTTCACAAAGTGTACCCCCATATAGAAATCACAGACGTAGTCCAACGTCAAAAGATCGATGGAGTGTTGCTTGACGTTTACTCGAGAGAATCAAGCGGCGCCACTCATCGGGTTAGCTGATTCAGACTGGGCCACCGATACTGACGACCGGAAATCAGTAAGCGGATTTGTTTTCCGCGTTTTCGGATGTACTGTTGCGTTGTCAAGCAAGAAGCAAACAACAGTTGCACCTTCTTCAAGCGAAGCTGAATATGTAGCGTTGAGTGCTGCAGCATCGGAAGCAATATGACTAGTCGGTGTTCTAGGCGATCTCGGTGAGCTGAACATTGAACCAATCACGAGGACAACCGTGGATGCATTGGTGTGACCAAGAACTTGGAGAGTAAGAGAGCCAAACACATCGACATTAAACACCATTTTCTTCGTGATCATGTCGCTGCTGGTAAGCTATTGGTGGAGTCGATTGCCAGCAACAACCAGTTGGCTAACTTCTTCACTAAATCGTTGGACGTCGGACGGTTTGAGCAAACTTCGGACGATGCTGGGACTATCCAAGCGGGAGGTGGTGAAATCAAAGTAGTCGTTGGATTACCTGACCTGGTCACTCCTGTTATTTTTCGCTGTCATTCCAATTCAAGAGCTCGATGAGAGCAATTCAAGTTTGCTTTAATAAAACATTCTTTTGTTCGTTAAGTCTCGGCCTGTTCATTATTGCACAATTAATTATGGAAGTATTGACATTTGATTCCTGATACAGTTTTGTTTTGAAATCTTAATTGACAGTTCTTTCGACTTGTGCAAGAAGTGTGAACACCAGCAAACAGGGGGTTTGACAAAGTGTGTCGAAAGTAAAATCGAGCAGATTTTTCTTTATGGTGGCGGTCAAAATCAGACCAAGAAATCTGATAGTCTATAAGGGGCTGTTCATAAACTACGTAGACAGTTTAGGGGGGGGGGGAGTATGACAATTATCCGCGGCCCATACAAATGTAAAAACATTTGTATGGACAATTGTCTACGTAGGGGGAGGGGGGGGGGGTTAAGAATCCCAAAAAACTGTCTACGTAGTTTATGAACAGGCCCTAAGGACCTTTACTGGAGCGATTATGAGCCTCACTTTTTGTCACTCAGTGACGAGAGTCACGTCAACGGAGCGATTGTGAGCGTCACTTTTTTGTCACTTTTCCCTCACGGTGACAAGAAAGTGAGGTGACGTGACGGTGATAATAGACCCCGATGTCTGAAAAAAAATTATTGGAAACTGGATTGCCTATTCAGAAAACAGAAATACACACTGAAAAAAATCAAAAAATTTCGATAAAAAACTACTCTGACAAATGGCTCATTCCGGAAAACGCATCGTTCCGGTAAATGGCATCCCGGGAAATGTGATGTGACCGTTTACCGATCGACCGAAACCTATATTAATATTGTTTGAGATGTCTCATAGTGGTAAAATTTACTGTTTTTGTTATAAAATAGTAAAATAACACTTATTATGCCAAACGATTTTAAGCCAAACGGCATTATGACGGGCAAGACCCGTCCAAAAGCGTGCGTATTCTTCGTACCTACGAGGGACACTGAATGCGTTTGAATGCAGTCCAGATTAGAGTCGCTATATTTACATATAGCTATAATCGCATATCAGTCCCATATGGATTTTCGTCATTTTTGAGATAACAACGCTATCCACTATCAATTGGCATCTACTTTCATATTATGCGATCAACCTATGGACTTTGATAATGAAAAATGTGAAAACAACATCAAGTCAGTTTGTCCAATTAAGCAAAGTAATCGCATATCAGTCCCATCCTGAAATTCAGCCGTCCACATGACAAGTTACAGCTCTGCTTTTTGAGTATTTTTCGCTGATATAACAAAGCATAACAAGCTTCACTGTAACTGATTTTAACTTAATCAAATTATGAATAAATTTATTATGATTTTTCAAATATTTGCATGGGAATTTAACCCAACCTAAATCTCCCCATCCCCTTTCCACACCAGCATATTTTGACAGTTCTGCCAGGATTGTTTTATCTCCCATTGGTTGCTATCTTTTTTACTCTCATGGAGAACGGAGAATAAAAGGACGGCGAAAAGTGAGGTTAGCTCAATTTCAGCATCGCGACTGGGAATGAATACTTTGGAACGTTACCAAAACTGCCATTAATTTTTCCTATGAAACCTTCTTTACTTTGCATTATTATACATGCTCACACCAAGTTCGTCAATGTCATTTTTTAGCTGTGAAACACTGTGGACGTTGATGGCTTAAGAGGCAAGTTCATTTTTAAACAATTGATGAACTTCTTCTCAGTCAGCAACAGTTGATTGTACTAAGATAGCTTTTTGTAACATAGTTTTAAAGATGTATTTATGATCAAATTTGGTATTAGGACGTCTAGCCTTAAAGCGTGACATACTTATGGATCGGCCCATTATTGATAATTTGGCCCTGTTATCGAAAATTGACTGGGTCGTCTCCCAGAACGCTAAGATTTAACCGACGTATATTAACTACATGCAAGCAAAAGACCCCTCGTTAGTTATGGATAAATATAGAAACGCAACAAGTTCATAAAGGTGAATTCAAGCACACAAGCTCGCATAGTATAGACTCAAGAAAGAGTAGCAAACATACTGACCGACCGACTGTACTCAAGGCTATCGCTGTCACACTATTACATTGCACAAAAATCTCCATTAGCCGTTTCCTCTCTTATGCGTACTCGGTGCAAAACAGGGACTCATATAGAAGAACAAGTTCCGATGGCTCAATAGTAAAACTGCCAAACAAACCCAGGTGATAAGTTCCACCATTAGAAGATACATTCAATATGATCGGAATGTATGTGAGCCGAAAGCTTGCAACACTACCTGAATGTTTAAGTTGTTTTGATGGTTTATATATTACGCTACTTACCGAATAGACACAGTAGAAATTTGAGTGACGTTAACGAGATAAACTTGTAGAATTCTATATCATCCCGAAGGGACTCGTCTGAGCTCATTCCGGCAGCAGCCCCCAGGAAATCAGCTGCAGCAGCGGTCGCTGCATTCATGGTGGCATTTAACGTCGCATTGACCAGCGATTCGGGTTCCGATACCAACTCGACTGTGGCCGAGCTAACCGCAGGGTTCATTGCAGTGCTGGATCCTGCCATAGGTGAAGAGTTCGGCAATCCCATACTAATTTTGAGAATTTCGTCGATGATAAACAGGCTGGGGACGCGCATTATGACGTCGACCAGCCCAAGGACTTTAGTGCGAACCACCGACATTCTGCAAGCTACTAACTTTCGTATCCTTGAGAAAACCTTCCGGAAGAATCGACTCTCCTGCCGTGGTTTGCTTCAATTATTTCTGTATCTTCAGGGCCACGACACTGATTTTGTTCTTCCTCACACTGCCCTCTCTTTTCCTTCGATAAGATGAAAAGGAACTTATATTTTTCTTTCAAGAGCAAGATAGTGGATAAGAAAAAAAAACTTTCACATTGGCCACTCCGGAGCCATTCTGTTTTTTAAGGAGCAGCCCACTTCCGGCAGGCTCCTGGTAAGCCTAACGGACACTTTTTGCTACAAATAATCGAATACTGATAGCACTACTAACGTACCGAAGGCAAAAGATTTTCTTTCAGCCAAAAGTTTTCACTTTTCTAGCAATTATTGCCGTCGCGTAAAAAGTTCGAAATCGGACTGACTGAGTCAAAAGTAGAACGATGATTTTGACATTACTAGATTGGTGTGCGTGAAATTTTAAACCGAATCAATCTGTCAGGTGATGCGATGACGGCAAGGGGTGATGAACATCGAATCTATAAATGCCGTCAATCTATAAAATGGGGGACCAACATTGGGCCGTATGAATAAAAATAGTTTACTTTACTTTCCCGTGGTCTTCTTACGGGAAAAGTAAAGTAAACTATTTTTATTCATACGACCTATTAAATCAATACGGAAAGAAATCAACATGTAAAATCAGGCTTCGTAACCAAATGAGCTTCTGAATGATCAGAACCAGAGAGGGTCTAGTATAAGCAACAATCAATTCGAAACTAACGATTTTAAATTGGCTCACTACTTGACTAGCCTATTGGTCCCAAGCAAATCGATTAACGTATCCCATTCTAGTATAAATTTCAGTACTACACTATGTTTGTTTTGAATCGCTATGAAAGTTTGACAGATAAAATGATGGTTTCGTTGATTTTCCAATGTTTCGAGGGGTGTAACGATTAGCTTGGGACCGAAGATAGTACCAGAGCTGAGCCAAAAAGTTGAGCGCGTTTCGAGGGGCACGCAATAGCCTTTTTGACTGCGTTGGATTTAAAGTGCAAGGTGTTCAACTATGTAATTAAGTAATTAAAAATGAAAATTAAGTATTTCACGTCATTAAATTTAATTTCGCGTAATCAAAGCAGTGCCAGTGTAATTAACACGTACTTCAATTTGATTACGTAATTAATATAATTAAAAATTTATGTTCTCTAATTAATGTAATTGAAGTTACACAAATGTAATTAAAAACGTACCCAAATCCTTATTCTTGAACTATTTAAAAAAAATTGAAGAAATCCCGTAACACATACTCGAATGAATCAATTTATTTAAAAACACTTTTTACACCCCGAAATACGCCCATTAATGTTTTACTGTTTTACTAGACCAATTCTGCGAATACTTATACTAAATTTCTGGAAGTACCATGCTAGAGTTAATGAAAATAATGAAATAATCCACTCGCGACAATCGATTTCACTCTCGTTTTGTACGTTCAACATAATGTCGTATCTACACACTTAATCTAGCTCGGTAAAATCTCCAACAGCCGATTACTTCGGCATTTACTTTTGCTGATATCTCTGCAAAATATTTGTTTGTTAGCTGATATCTCAGCAAAATGTTATTTGTTAGCTGAATCTCGGCAGATATTTGACTGAATCTCAGCAAAATAAATTGCAGAATTACTCGGCTGTTGGAATCTCGGCGAAAAAAATTAAGTGTGTAGTGCACTGTATTCGTGGAATAATGCGCTTTAATGCAGAACTAGATTAAAATCGATTGTCACGAGTGGGTTATATCGGTTTACAACTCTAGCGACAATATACAGTGAAAAGGAAGTGATACTCATAATGAGGGCCGTGATTGCCGTACACATGAAATGCGAATCACTTAGTTGTGACGACAAGTCTTCACATTTTACATTTCCTTAAATTCAAGCAATTCCTCGATCAAATTTCCTCCCGATTAAAAAATGGTCGAACTTTAAGCCATGCTCGCATTACAGTTCGACAGATGATGATATTAGCTTGTGCCTGAATTAACAGATTCAATGGAGGATGTATTTGCATTTGCATTAATTTTCTGATGTTACGCGTGAATTCTTCGATTATTTCAATATTTCTTTCAAACTTAATATTATACTAATAATAATTAACAGATTTAAGGCAGAGTTCATTAACAAAAAAAAATTATAATCAGGTTTTGGTTGCAGACACTAAGATGATTCAAACCAAATGTGTGCTTTTATTTGTATTATCGCCATTATATGATCACATCCGTATTCAGAATTGACGCGGTAGCACTTATGAAATTCGCCTCCCCATTATTCGTCTTTCCATGGGTCAACTAAACAATACTATGGGCAGAACTCCAAACCGATAGGAAACGATGAGTCCCATGTGCACAGGACACGAAATGATCGTTATCGATCAACTTGACACACTCAAGTTATCCGTGCCGGGAAGACAATTGCATACTAGCTGCGATTTTTTCCCGGAAGTAGCGCAGCGTGTGAATGTCCAAAGTATTCACCAGCTCCAGTGTCCGTTCAGTTCTTTCTCTTAGGGGCTGTTCATAAACTACGTAGTCTGGGTTGACAATTATTCACAGCCCATACACATTTTAAAAATTTTGTATGGACAATTGTCTACGCAGGGGGAGGGGGGTATATAATCCAAAAAAATGTCTACGTAGTTTATCAATAGCCCCTTATCTGCCTCAAAAAAAAAACTTCTGATCCTGCGAAATGGCCAGCGAAAGAACTACCGCCTTCTCCGCCTTTGTCACCGTTCCCGCTTGATTAGGTACCGTACAGAAATCGATCATCGCCAGTCAAACACAGACACATCGGTGACTGATGCTTTCTAATACGATTGATTTCTATATTACTAAAAAAACATGCTTTTGAATGTAATTCAAAATACATATTTTAGTTTTAAACATGTTTTCAATTTACTTTGAATCATTCATATGTTTAGAGTATAAACAGATTTATTTTTGATTTGAATGAACACAATTCGTATCCGTGAAGAAATATATCAGTGCTAACATTTGAAAACGGCGCAAAAGCCATTTGTAAACAAATGGTTTGTGGGCCCTTTACTCGCTACCCGAAGAACGCCCACGCAAACCAACAGCATCGTCAGGAAGGGGAAAATTTCCCCTACCCGATGTTGCTGTTGTGTCGCGTGGGTGTACTTCAAGTAGTGAGTAAAGGGCCCACAAACCATTTGTTTACAAATAGCTTTTGTGCCGTTTTCAAATGTTAGCACTGATATAATATTTTTACATGTAAATTTTGTTCATAATCTAAGAAAAAACTGATTTTCTTGAATTTTCGATAATTTTTCCCATTATTAAAAAAAAAAACCGTGTCGAAAAAACTATATTTTCGGAGCGGTAAACTTCCCCTTAACCATACATTTTGGGGTTTAAAAAAAAGAGGCAAAACGTGCTTAACATAATTTTCTATTGTAATTCTGTTTTCGTGGTGGATGTGAAACCAAATTAAATCCGTTATTTCTAAGGTTGAACCAGTTAGCACAAACAAACATTCCTTTCATTGTCGCATTCTTCGGCGCTTTGACAGGGGCGTGATCCAGGGTATAGGTTTTTGCCCTGCCTACCCCTCGGCAGACTTGAAATCCGGCTACATTTCCAATCACGAACCGATCGTTGCATGTGAATTGGCACCAATCACTAACGTAGATTTCCTCGTAGGTCCCGGGAGATGTATGTTTATAGGGTCTATTCTGAAGTCATAACTGCGGTAGCGATACAATCTATCAGAGCTGACATTATCCTTAACGTAGCAAAAGGGCCTGTGAAATTTTTGTTTCACGGGCCAATAACGAAAGGGTCTAACGGTACGCTGGGGCTAATTTAAGTACATTTCTCGCTGTACATATATGTATACTTAGTAAATTTTCAGTACATAAAGTCCTATAAAGTCTACACTCTAATAATGCTTTAACTTACAGAACAATCAAAAAATTGGTAATGTATATTGTGCTTACTGAATACAATTTATGTTCAATGAAAATTTAAATCACAGACAGTCTGTCCTTAAATCATACTTAGATTTCAAAATAATGAGGAAATTTATTTGGAATTGAGAAAAATCTGTATAATCTGTATTTTAGGTTTAAATCTGTGTATCTGTATATACAGATTCTTGGTCCTGAAACGATCCAGAAAATCCGTAAAATACAGAATAATATGTTAATGTGGCATCCCTGCGTGGGAGAGCTGGACCATTAATTCGTGTAGCCGTGGCCGAGGCTGGAAACCTCAGTCCGGTCACGACAAACGGGTTAACTTTTACTCATAAATGGATGTTTGATTCTTACCGCGTACATGACAGTATCCAACACTCGATCCAACATTTTACGAGCGCTGATGGCCGCCATAATCTAGCTGAGTTTCTGGTAGGGAACATTCGATTTGATATTTGGGTTATGTCGTTTGACGTATAAACGATTAAATTTGACCGTTTACAGGTCAAACGACATAAGCCAAACTTTAAAACATATGTTTCCTACCAGAAACTCAACCAGATTGTGGCGGCCATGAGCGCTCGTAAAATGCTGGATACACTAGTTTGTGTAAAATTTTATTATTAGTTTAGTGTTCGTGAGATCCGGCTTGGAGAACTCAATACCACAGAGTTTAGACTCGAACAAAATTTCTGTAAAAACTAGTGTAAAGAATCTTATTCGACTGGAGTTGCACAACTTACACTAGACACTAAGTGCCGGTAGCGTCAAGTGGCAATTTTCAACAGAAAATTTATCGATATTAGCTCCAAATTGGTGGAAAGTGGAAAAGTTATAGAAAAAATCAGGAGATGCTAGCACCACGTAATGGTGACGTTCACACTTATCTTTACACAAGTTTCTGGTGGAAGTAGGACGTCTGTTCTCTGTGGTTAGAGTGACCATAATTTAAAAAAAATCTACAAGGGACAGCCCTATAGCATATAGGTAACTCTAAGACCAGAAGGTCCCGAAGAAACGTGCTCAACTTTTTGGCTCAGCTCTAGTACTATCTTCGGTCCCAAGCTAATCGATGCACCCCTCAAACCATAGGAATTTTCCACAAACCCCTCATTTTATCTGTCAAACTTTCATAGCGAATCAAAACAAACATAGTGCTAGAATTCCAAAAAGAATGGGGTTCGTTAATCGATTTGCTTGGGACCAATAGGCTAGTCAAGTAGTGAGCCAATTTAAAATCGTTAGTTTCCACCGGTTGCCTATAGGGTTGTACGAAATGGTGACGTAGGACTACGTGGTATTATATAATATATGTTATTTGTTAACTGCAGCAGGAGCTTGTGTTTTGTGTAGGAATAGGAATTTGAGCGAGGTTCTCTCTGTTTATACTCTTTAGTATGACTATGATTGCCCTGAAAAGAACCTTTT